AACCCTGCTCGACAGATCCTGGCTGAGATGCGGATGGCGGGCGCCGAATACTCTACGGCGTCCTACATCACCCACGTCTACAAGGGCATACCGCGCAGCTACAACCTCATGAAGAGGATGACGATGGTGCCAGGCACACGTGAGTCCCTCGACGAGGACTCCCTAACAAGCTACATCATCTAAGATGAGGTGATACAGGAGGCTGAACAGCCCACGGAGCCCCTTCCGCAGGCAAATTACGCTGCACCGACGAAGCAGAATTGTCAGCAGGAGCAGCGCGGGAAGCCGTGCGGAAGTGGTAGCGGAGGTGGGCGGTCCACAAAGGACGTCGACGAGAAGAGGTCGACGCGGGACAAGGGCCGTGGAGGTGGTGGTTGACGGTGGGAGTGTAGGATCTGCCACGACCCCGACCATCTCTCTGTCAGAACATATATATAGCTTATGCTGTTGTGTAGGCTATAGTGGGGTATCCCATAGGGGGTACAACCCAATTAGGGTTTCCTATATGTACTCACTTCATTCATAGTTCATTCATTCGCTTTCTCCTTTTCTCATGGAATCAGAGCAGGTCCCCTCCTAGGGACTGTTTCTAGGGCCCACCGAAGCGCGCCCCGAGGCGCGCTTTCTTTTTTTTTTAGCGACCCTCCGTGTCGCCCCTAGCGGCCCGTTGCGCCGCCCTCACCTACGCGGCCCCACCGCCCTCACGTCGCGGCCCCGCCGCCCTCACGTCGCGGCCTCGCCGCCCTTGCCTACGCGGCCCCGCCGCCCTCACCTGCGCGGCCCCGCCGCCCTCACGTTGCGGCCCCACCGCCCTCACTTCGCGGCCCCGCCGCCCTCACCTACGCGGCCTCGCCGCCCTTGCCTACGCGGCCCCGCCGCCCTCACCTTCGCGGCCCCGCCGCCCTCACTTCGCGGCCCAGCCGCCCTCACCTACGCGGCCTCGCCGCCCTTGCCTTCGCGGCCTCGCCGCCCTCACGTCGCGGCCTCGCCGCCCTTGCCTACGCGGCCCCGCCGCCCTCACTTCGCGGCCCCGCGCCCTCACCTACGCGGCCTCGCCGCCCTTGCCTTCGCTCGGCCTCGCCGCCCTCACCTACGCGGCCCCGCCGCCCCACTTCGCGGCCCAGCCGCCTATCCTCACCGGCCCCGCCGCCTATCCTCACCGGCCCCGCCGCCTATCCTCACCGGCCGAGCCGCCGAGCCGCCCAGCCGCCGGGCCCGCCCTACTGCCGAGCCGCCCGACCCTGCCCTGCCTGGTGAGCACAGCACCACTGTTACTGCGTGCCCCTCCCCTACTGCTTGCACTGCTACACTGTCGTCGTCATGGCTACCCCTAGTGTCCTCGCTTTGACGCTGAGGGTCGAGCCATTGACTTTGAGGTCTGGGTCGACGACCTGCAGCTGTTCTTACAGTGCGATAGGACGGACGGTCTTTCCCTCTTTGACCTCACCTCTGGCGCCTCTCCTGCCCCTGCTGCTGATGCTGACCCCACTGTTCGTACTCACTTCATTCATAGTTCATTCATTCGCTTTCTCCTTTTCTCACTCTCCTACGAATGCCCTGGCCGCGACAACAGCGACGATGACGACAACAAGGGAGGCCGCGGTCGATCGGCTAGTCGTCGCCCCTGTCGAGATTCAAAGCCGCGCAATGAGAAGCAGACATCGAAGACGATGTCCTTGACGGAGGACATTGACAACTCCAGTGGCAAGGGCCGAGGCGACGGGGAGGCGTCGTGCTTGATGGTCGGCTTGGTGGAGTCGACAATCTCGCTGGCACCGGAGGCTGGCGAGGACTTCCAAGCGGTGGCGGCAGCTGTGCAAGCCAATCTGATGGCGGTGCTTCTCGACAGCGGTTGCTCCCACCACCTGATGGGGACGAGGGCGGTCTTCATCGACATGGCGCCCGAGCGATGAAGTTAAGCACGTGCGTGGATTCAACGGGGCGCTGCAGCCCGTCGACGGTCGTAGAACCGTCGCTCTGCAAGGGGAGGCAGGGAAGCGGGTCCTCATCCCCGACGTGCTCTATGTTTCGAGGGTACATGCGAACTTGCTGTCAGCTGCCCAAATGAAGGAGAGCGGAGTACAGCTGCAGGGCGACAGTGACGAGATGCTGCTCGTCGCCGCGACCGGGGAGATGCTTGGTCGAAGTGCGCTACACTGGACAAGTCCTTCTGCACCGACCTTCGCCCCTGCTCGACGCGGTCGCCATCGACCGAGGTAGTGGCTCTGCGGACGATCGTCTCGGCAACGAAGACAACCCCTGACCATGCGAGGCTCGCATGGGAGGCTCGCACACGTCGGCGTCGACACGATCAAGAGCTCAGCGAAGCATGAAGTTGCTACTGGGCTCGACATCAAGCCGTCGACCGGAGCAGACCCGCCGTGCGTCTCGTGCGTCGGAGGAAAGCTTGGCGCGGCACACCTTCCCCGACAAAGGCTCGGACGCCGAGGAGGCACATGCTGTCGTACACATAGACTTGTGCGGGCCGTTTCGTGTTGCTGCCAAGGATAGCGGCTTGTACTTTCTACTGTTGAAGGATCGCAAACACTCAGTTCGTGTGGGTGATGCCGGTTGCTAAGAAGAGCGACGTGCTGTGGGAGTTCCAGAAGTGGCTGGTGCTGGTGGAACGGCAGGCAAAGAAGTCGGTGCTGATGCTCCGCTCACACTGAGGAGAGGGAGTTTCTTGAGAAGGAGTTCACCGACTTCGTCGACGGTAACGGCATCATCCATGAGCTGACGCGCCCCTACACTCCGCAGCAGACGGGATGGCTGAGCGGAAGATGCGCACAATCGTCGAGTCCGTGCAAACAATGCTGCTGCACATGGGCGTGCAACACCACTGGTGGCATCTCGCCCTACGACATGCTGTCTGGGTGCGCAACTGCTTGGAGCAGTCGACGCCGCCGCCGAGGACGACGCCGTACCAACGGCTGACCGGGAAGAAGCCCGACCTTACGCTGGCACGGGTGTGGGACTGCATGGTACAGTTCATGGTTCCTGATCAGCAGCGCGGTGGGAAGCTGGCGCTGAAGGCTTATTAGGGGCTTCACCTGGGCGTGTCACCGGGGAGTAAGGGCTGGGAGGTGCTCGACCTGACCGACAACAAGGTGGTCATGTCGGTCGAGGTGATCTTCTATGAGACACTGTCGCTGGAGGTGTGGAAGGCGAATTATGGGACGGCGTCGGGGTGGACGCTGGCACACCCGCCGACTGACACCTTGACGTCAACAGTCCCGTTGCTCGCCGAGGTCGACAAGCCTGCTGATGAGGATGTCGTGGAAGTTCTTCCTCCTCCCCCTGTTCTTGCTCCTCCCACCCTCGTCGCAGATCGGCATGCGTCGACACTTGTGTCGGCCACCGGCGATGAGGGGAGCCTTGAGGCGTCGCTTGTGGCGCCAGCCAGTGGCATCGCCAGCGGCGGACAAGGCGCAAAGCTCAGCGACAAGGACGTGAAGCCGTCCACGACAGGGGAGCAACAGACAGAGGAGCCGATCGAACAGGAGGCAGTAGCAGGGGTGCAGTCGACAGGGGAGCAGCGGACGAGGCGGTCGACAGGGGTTGCAGTCAACAGGGGAGCAGCGGACGGGGCGGTCGACAGGGTCGACGATGCGCAAAACCGGAGGGGAAACAAGAATATTCTTCAACTCCTGAAAAGCCGCCTTAGCTTCCTCCCCTCCCACACAGAATCCTTGTCCTTGTGCAGTAGGTCGGTTAGTGGGCCGGTTATCCTCACCATATTCTGGATAAACCGCATGACGTAATTCACGAACCCCAAGAAACCCTGAAGTTTCGTGATATTAGTCGGGGACTTCCACTCCTAAATAGTCTTGATTTTCGCTGGGTCGTTTTTAATGCCGTCGCGTGAGATGACGTGCCCTGAAAACTGCAACTTTGTTGAAAAACTTGCAATTGACGAGGCGAGTGATACTCGCCTCATTTCGAGCCTACTCGTGTTTTAAACGAGGCGAGGCGAGTACTATTTGCTGAAAAAAATCGCCAATGGTCCTACTCGTTACTCGCCCAAACAGGCGAGTTACTTTTTTACTCGCTACAGGTAAAAATGACTCGTGGCGAGGCAAGTAATTACTCGCCTCGCCTGGATATATGTCAACATTTTAGAATGTTATTGGTTAAACGAACAGCCACCGTTTCCCAAATATCCCATTCTTGCAGCCTACATAATAACTGCATATGACATAAGAAGAATTGAAACGCTAGTTTGGTTGCTAGATCTACATAGTTGGCCTCTAGTTTGGTCGACATTGGTCGTGCATAATCTAAAACGCTGGCGGGTTGTAGACATGGATGCTTGGTACCAAACATATATGCCGGGAGGCACACGTACATGCTAGGGAGCACACATTGTGCTGGGCGGCACACATACATGCTGGGCGACACAGATACATACCGGGGGGCGCAATACATATTAGGTGGCGCACATACATGCCAGGCGGCACAAATACATGCTGGGCAGCGCACATACATGCCGGAGGGCGCACATACATGTTGGTGGGCGCACATACATGCCGGGGGGCGCACATACATACCGGGGGGCGCACATACATGCCGGGGTGCGCACACACACAGTTCGTTCAGATAGAGCATGTTGCCGATGGCATCAAGGCTGCCCGGAATCTTGTTCAATGACAGGTACCTGGTGGTGGTAGGGGGCGGCATGGCATGGCACGTTTTGGCATGGCACGGCATGGCATGGCAGGACATAGGAGCGTGTAAAGCCAGCTGTCGACCAACCAGCTGGTGGAAGTGGGTGGCTTAACGAAATGCCTGACTGACCGGGACGAAAATGTGACTGGCAGGGACGAAAATGTGACTGACAGGGATGAAAATGTGACTGACAGGGACGAAAATGTGACTGGCAGGGACGAAAATGTGACTGACAGGGACAAAAATGTGGCTGACAGGGACGAAAATGCGACTAACAGACAGGGAGGACTTGTTGACTGAAATGTAGGAATTGTTGACCGTAAGGTAGAAATTATTTACGGTAAGGTGGAAGCGTTAACGGACAGGTATGAGAGCTTGGTGAGTCTGCTGAAGGTGGGGAAAGGGCCCTGAGAAGGAGTTGTTAGTGAAGTCCCTGCCATGCATGCATGCACACACACATGCATGCATACACACACACACATGCACACACACACACATGCATGCACACACACATGCACGCACACACGCATGCACGCACACACGCATGCACGCACACACACATGCACGCACACACGCATGCACGCACACACGTATGCACGCACACAGACATGTTCGCACACACTCATGCACACACACACGCATGCACGCACACACGTATGTACGCACACACGCATGCACGCACACACGCATGCATGCACAAACGTATACATCCACACACAACATGCACGCACGCATGCATGTACGGACACACGAATGCATGCACACATGCATGCATGCACACAAGCATGTATGCATACAGGCATTGCATGCACACAGGCATTGCACGCACACAGCATGCATGCACACATGCATGCATGTACACAGGCATTGCATGCACACATGCATTGCATGCACACACTCATGGACGCACACAAGCATGCATGCACATACGCATGCATGCACACAAGCATTGCATGCACACACGCATGCATGCACACACGCATGCATGCACACACACACGCATGCATGCACACACGCATGCATGCACACACACATACATGCACAGATGCATGCATGCACACACGCATGCATGCACACACGCACACATGCACACAGGCATGCATGTGCACACACATGCATACACACACTCGCACACATGCATGCATGCACACATGCACGCACACACATATGCATGCACACACTCGCAACTATATGCATGCACACACACATGCATGCACACACTCGCCCACACACATGCACACATACATGCATGCACACATACATGTATGCACACACTCGCACACATGCATGCACGCACAAAAAGAGCAGTCAGAGAGAACGTTAGAGGATTTAGATCCATGCCATTAGTACCGACGGAGGGGCTAACTCTAAAGAGGGACAACACTAACTGACAAAGGAGTGATGTTAACTGAGAGTGTCAAACTTATATGCTATAGTCTGTGTAGGCTGTAGTGGGGTAGCTCATATGGGGTATAACACTTTAGGGTTTCCTACTTGTACTCCTCATGCTGCTCAATGCATTCATTATTTCGTCTATCAATTTCACATGGTATAGAGCTAGTTTCGAGTTTTTTTTTAAAAGGGCCCACCACTGAAATTTCTCCCCTGCCTACTTGTCGCGCGCTTCGCGCCTTCCCTTCGAGGCCCGTCACGGCCCCTGCGCCCGCCCTTAGAGCCTGCGCCCACCCCGTAAGGCCCCTTAAGGCCTCGTTAAGCCCCGTAAGGCCCCTTTCGGCCCCATTTAGGGCGCGGTTTAAGGCCCCGTAAGGCCCTGTTATGCCCGTAAGGCCCCGTAAGGCCCCGTCAGGCCCCGTTTCGGCCCCGTTTAAGGCCCCGTTAGGCCCCGACAGGCCCCCGTTAGAGGCCCCGTACGGCCCCGTCAGACCTCGTTAGAGGCTCCGTACGGCCCCGTCAGGGCCCCATTTGGCCCCGTTTAAGGCCCCGTAAGGCCCGTCAGGCCTGTGTTAGAGGCCCTGTAAGGCCCCGGTTAGAGGCCCCCGTTAAGGCCCGTCAGACCCCGGTATATGGCCCCGTCAGGCCCCGTTATGGGCCCCGTACGGCCCCGTATGGCCCGTTATAGGCCCCCGTCAGGCCCCGTTATAGGACCAGTTCGGCCCAGTCAGGCCCTGTTAGATGGCCCCTTCAGGCCCCAGCGGCCCCTACTGCGGCCCTGACGCAGCTCTTCCCCGACGACTTGCCCCGGCACTGCTCCTGACCTGCCCTGAACTGCCCCGCTCTGCCCCGGCCCTTGCCCCGGCCCTGCCCCGCCTGCCCCTGAACTGCCCCGGCCCTGGCCCCGGCTCTGCCCTGGCCCTGCCCCGGCCCTGCTCCTGACCTGCCCCTGAACTGCCCCGGCCCTGGCCCGGCTCTGCCCAGGCCCTGCCCCGGCCCTGCCCCTGAACTGACCCGGCCCTGGCCCGGCTCTGCCCTGGCCCTGCCCCGGCCCTGCTCCTGGACTGCCCCGGCCCTGCTTCTGCACTGCCCCGGCCCTGCTCATGACCTGCCCTTGAACTGCCCCGGCCCTGGCCCGGCTCTGCCCAGGCCCTGCCCCGGCCCTGCCCCGGCTCTGCCCCGGCTCTGCCCCGGCCCTGCCCCGGCCCTGCCCCTGAACTGCCCCGGCCCTGGCCCGGCTCTGCCCTGGCCCTGCCCCGGCCCTGCTCCTGAACTGCCCCGGCCCTGCCCCGGCCCTGCTCCTGAACTGCCCCAGCCTCTCCCCTGCCGAGCCGCCCCGCCGCCCAGCAGCCGAGCAACCGAGCCGCCGAGCCGCCCAGCAGCCGCGCCGCCCAGCAGCCCAGCAGCCGAGCAGCCGAGCCGCCCAGCCGCCGAGCCGCCGAGCCGCCGAGTCGCCGAGCCGCCCAGCAGTCGAGCCGCCGAGCCGCCCTGCAGTCGGGCCGCTTCTGCACCTCCTGGCGCGCCCCGGCCCTACATACTCGGACTGGTGAGATCACTCCCTGCTAGGTCACTCCAGTCATGGCTACCCCCAGTGTCCTTACCTTTGATGCTGAGGGTCGTGCTGTTGACTTTGAGGTCTGGATTGATGACCTCCAGCTGTTCCTACAGTGCGATAGGGCAGACGGACTCTCCCTTTTCGATCTCACCTCTGGTGTCTCTCCTGCCCCGCCTGCTACTGCTGACAGCACTGTTCGCTCACAGTGGGCCACACGCGATGCTGCTGCCCGTCTTGCTGTTCGTCGCCACTTACCGACCACTGAGCGTGCGCACTTTAGCCAGTACAAGAGTGCTCAGACCTTGTACGACGCTGTAGTTGCGCGCTACTCTTCCCCTGCCACTGCTGCGCTTAGCCGCCTCATGCTGCCGTACCTGTTCCCTGACCTTGCTGCCTTTCCCACAGTCGCTGACCTCGTTACGCACCTTCGCACTAGCGACACTCGCTACCGCGCTGCGCTTCCTGCTGAGTTCTGTGCCAAGAACCCCCCCCCCATGTACATCACCCTCTACTATATAGTCACCCGGCTCCATGACTCCCTTCGCTTAGTCAGGGACCACTTCCTCTCAGTTTGCCCCACCACACTCACCGTTGACCTCCTCGAGGAGCGCCTCCTAGCAGCAGAGAAGAGCATAGTCGCTGTAGGAGCCTCTCGTGGTGACCCTCGCACCCCCGTCTTTGAGGGGTGTTCCCCCTCCCCCCTCTTGCCCTCTGTTGCTTCTGCTGCTGCGGCCGACCTCGTTGGCTTCGAGTCGGTCGGCGCTGCGTCTGCCCCTAGCGGGAAGCGCCGCACCGGCAAGGGCAAGGGGGGCAAGGGCGCTGGGGGGCCAGTGGGGGTGGTGGAGGTGGTGGTGGAGGCAGTGGAGGGGGTGGGGGTGGTGGTGGGAGTGGTGGCGGGGGCGGAGGTGTCGGTGGCAGCAGTGGAGGCGGAGGAGGCGGCGGTGGTGGCGGAGGGAGCGGAGGGTGGCGGCGGTGGCGGAGGCGGCGGAGGTGGCGGTGGAGCTGGTCGCGGCTCTGCGCAGAGGAGTGGCTCCGGTGGTGGTCCGCGCCAGCAGCAGCAGCGCGGTCGTGAGACCCTGTCCCCTCAGCAGCTTCGTGAGTGGTACGCTGGGCGTCAGCGGGTACTGGTCCCTGCACCTACGTCCTCCGTACAGGCGACCGCGTTGGTGAGCAGTGCGGGGCACGCACTCCACCCAGCGCTGCTTCGGCCGCCTGACGGACGCTTGGCGTCATCAGTTCCCTGACGCCACTGAGATCCCTCGCTGGGGAGAGCTGTCTAGGGCGGGGGTTGCTATCTTTGATCTTGACTATGATACTATTCTTGCTGCCATGTATGCTGTGTCTACTAGTGATGAGGGTGACTGTTACTGTGTGTTCCGCCTGACTCCGGGCATTGATGCTGCTGGCTCTAGGTGCTGGTGAGGCTGCTGCTCCAGGTGCTAGTGCGTCTGCTGCCCCAGGTGCTGGTGAGTCTCT